GGCCTCACGGTGCTGGCAAGGAACAGGGTCTGGGTCAGGGACCCGCGTCTTTACCTCCCATTGCCCCAAAGCATCGCGCAGATGTTGGGCAGGAGGTGCCAGCCAGAGGCAGTCCTATGCACTAGCCCTTGGACAGGAAGGGTGGGAATTCAGCAGTGACACACACAGGGCATTTTAGATTCCTCCAATTTGTGTGTGCATGCGGTTTGGTGGGTTTGTTTTTCCTTATGAACAGCAAAAAATACTCTTTAGAAAACCGTATTTGCCCCAAGTGGATGTGCTAGTGCTCATGGCTCTGCCAGCCTGGCCGAGTCAGTAAGCGAAGCCCTCTGCGTAGGGAAGGCTGCCGCAGGGATCCATCTCCAGGAGGTATGCTGGGCTGTCCTCAAAGTGCGTCAGCGGCACCGTCTCCTCCTCGGGCACCGGGCAGTCAGGCTCTGTCTTCAGGAAGGGGCGCTGGTTATCAGGGTAGGCCATGGAAAACAGGGCGTCAGGGTCACAAACGAACTTATAGACGTACCGCTCGCCAGCCACCTGCAAGGAGAGGAGGGCATGAGAAGGGCCCTGCACCTTCCCTCAGGAATAACAAGCATGGCATGACCAACATTAGACCTAGCCCCAGAGCTCCTGCTATGCCCCAGGTGTCAGTCACCCCCAGTGAGTGTTACACACCTTCTGCATGATGCCCTTCTCATAGTAGTAGCGCAGGGAGCGGCTGAGCTTGTCGTAGTTCATGGCTGGCCGGTTCTTCTGGATGCCCCAGCGCCGTGCTACCTGCAAGAAGAGAGAGGTGGCAACTGTGAAGGCTGCAGCAGGGGTTTGGACCTGGATCCTCAAAGGAAATATCAGCTGAAATGCAGGGTAGGGGCTCATTTCTGGGAGATGGAGCAGCCAGGGGTGAAAGTGTCACCCGGGTCCTGGAGCAGCTCCCGCCTGCTGCAGTAAGTCCTCCAGCTCCAAGCACCGGCTGCCACAATGCAGCCACTGCCAAACCAGGGGCTGAATCAAAAGACATTTGATTAGGGAAGTCTGCCAAAAAAGATGCTTAAAAAAAAAAAAAAAAACCCAAAAAAAACCCCAAAAAACCCCAACACCCAACCTCCCACAATTTCCATGCATTAAGAGATATTATGGGTAATTACCCACAATGTGCAGCTCAGCACCACAGCTGCTTTCGATCACTCTCCAGTTTCTTCTTGTGTCACCCTCTGCAGAGCTGCATAGCTCCAGCACAGCACCAGGGATCCAGGGCAAAGGATCCAGGAGCAGTCTGGGAGGGAGGAAGCCATGGCCCAGCAGCAGGTCTGGGCCATGCCACTGTGGTCATTGAGCACTGGTGGCTTCAG